AAATTAATCATTAAATCGAGCCATTCGGAATAGGTGCGGATCATTCTTTATGATGGTGGGAAAACCTTAATTAGGCCCCTAAATTTACCCCATTTTAGCACATAAGCCCTAACAAAAATTTAGCCCCATGAGCCCCTAAACACCATTTTCTGCGCAGGTTAGCCCTAAATTAACAGTTAACTTTAGTTCCGTTAGGTTACCTGATAGTGCCTTTGAGAAACTGGTTTAATTACAATTTAATCGTAAACTTACCAAATTTGAAAGAAACTTAAGCCCTAAACTTTTATTTATTTTTACTACAAAATTTAAAACAAAATTAACAGAAAACACACTTTCCTTAATCCAGCAATCTACAACAAAACAATAATGACATCCAAAAGATCTTGGGTAAGTATTTGGAGATTATGTTAGCCTAAATTTAAAGAATTTTTTTTCTTTTTTTGGGTGTTGAAACAATAATGACATCCAACAAGAATAATTTTCATTTCGTTACTAGTTTACTACAACTACAAATAAACATAGTGGCAACTTGAAATATTTAATTACAACAGAGGAGGACAGCAGCAGTTTGGATCATCATAGCTTGAGCAATTAAAACGATATATATTACTTCAAAAAGAATTTGAGACTTTATTTTTCTAAAAAGAAAGACTAAAATTTTGAGTAATTAATTAATGAAAAATTAATGATTTGATGAATTCTCGGAGAATAGAAAAAAAATTGCAATTGGCAGGTGAAAAGTGAAAAGTTCTGCAAATCCCAGTGGAGAAAATCTCAAAACCGAAATAGTTTCGAAAAGCCTAAATTGAAATCAAGATAAAAAAAAATAAAAAATAAATAAATAAATAAAAACTCAATATAACTCAAACCCACTCAATTGTTGTGGTTAATGTTTACTCTACCTTTGCATTAGAGTATATGCTAAGAATTAAAGTTTCAATTTAAGTAAAGAGTTAATTGAAATCTCCATAAACAAAGGTCTATAGAATAAACATTAGTTTGATTGAATATACCAAGTGAATGTTAGCTGCATTTTAAAATCATTTCAAATAGTTAATGCACCAAGTAAATTAGTTTGATATGTGAAAGTTCAACAAAAAATACTTAACCATAAGTTGAAAAAGTCTATACTATAAACATTAAGTTAATATACTTTAAGCTAAGTGAAAATTTTAATTAATTAGCTTGTGTTTACTTAAATTAAGAGTGGGCTTGTGAAGTAGGCTTGCTTGCTCTGCCACAACTGATCCAGGTCTTGAGGAAGAAGAGGAGCAGCTTAAAGGTAAGACTGTTGATATGCTTGACAAATTCATAGGTGTCAGGGAATTCAATCGAAAGGAAAATTTACAGAAAGAGCTCTACTCTTGTTGAATTGTAATTCATGAGAGTAGGGAAGGGAGAACTGCAAAAAAAAAAAAAAGATATAGATTAAAAATACACAATTTTAATTAAGAATAATCTAGTAATAGATATTAATCTCTTAAAAAAAATTTATATTTATGTTTTTCTCTCTTTATAAAATTAGTTAGAGTTAGGGACTAATTTTATTTAAAATCCAACTAATTTGGTGATTATATTGTGATTAACCATTTTTTCTTCAAATATATTAACAAAAACCGTTAATGTTAGCTAAAACCTAAAATAAAAATAACAAACATGAACGGCAGCTGTGTGAATTGATGTTTGAGTATCATTGATTGTGGATTGTTATATAGCCATAAGGGACAAAAAATGAAACATTCTGGGTTTTGAAGAAAGAAATGTACTTTTATCATTTCATTTTCAATAAAAATTCTATTTTAAATTTCTATGCTTGTTTTGTTTGCGATGGATGAGTATACCACTTGCGAAATTCTTCAACTCACGTTTTCAAATTTCATCTCATTTCAAATGAAAAAGTATGAGCATTCGATTTTGCATGGGAATTGAGATATTGTTAGAATAAATTGGCAGAAATTTAGCAATAACTCAATTGGAAGCTTATTTGGTATTATGGAATAAAATGTTAACTACTTTATATTTTGGTTAAGAGATTCATCTTGTTACTTAAAGACTATTAAGATTTGTTAATGGAATTATTTATTTTAAAATTGTAAGATTGCATTAAAACTTTATAAAAGATTGTATTGATATGTAGATAGATGACTTTACACATTTATGAAATTATTCTATAGATGTGCGGTGT